GGGTTTCCCAACTATCCATTTTTAGAAAGCTTGTGTGACCTTATTGGTGATTGGAAAGTGATGAAATTTTCCAATACTGTTGCATTATGACTCTATATTATGAAAATGCCTGTTGATTGATTTCATCAAATCATGATAAAATTTTAGAAAGAAATTCCACGAACTTTTGGATCAACCCTTGTACAGGACACCACCAACCATCTCCCAAAAGATGATTAGGCTACTGTGTAAAATGTAAGAGGAGTTCAGGGAAGACAGGGCTTTTTGCATAAAAAACATCATTTTTCGACCCCCATTTGACCCCCTGGGGCAAAATCAAAATTCTGAAACTTTACTGCACATCTACAGGACACCACCAACCATCTCCCAAAAGATGATTAGCCTACTGTGTAAAATGTAAGAGGAGTTCAGGGAAGACGGGGCTTTTTGCATAAAAAACATCATTTTTCGACCCCCATTTGACCCCCCGGGGCAAAATCAAAATTCCGAAACCTTACTGCACATCTACATGACACCACCAACCATCTCCCAAAAGATGATTAGCCTACTGTGTAAAATGTAAGAGGAGTTCAGGGAAGACGGGGCTTTTTGCATAAAAAACATCATTTTTCGACCCCCATTTGACCCCCTGGGGCAAAATCAAAATTCCGAAACCTTACTGCACATCTACATGACACCATCAACCATCTCCCAAAAGATGATTAGGCTACTGTGTAAAATGTAAGAGGAGTTCAGGGAAGACGGGGCTTTTTGCATAAAAAACGTCATTTTTTTACCCCCATTTGACCCCCCGGGGCAAAATCAAAATTCCGAAACCTTACTGCACATCTACATGACACCATCAACCATCTCCCAAAAGATGATTAGGCTACTGTGTAAAATGTAAGAGGAGTTCAGGGAAGACGGGGCTTTTTACATAAAAAACGTTATTTTTTGACCCCCATTTGACCCCCCGGGGCAAAATCTAAATTCCGAAACCTTATTGCACATCTACATGACAACACCAACCATCTCCCAAAAGATGATTAGCCTACTGTGTAAAATGTAAGAGGAGTTCAGGGAAGACGGGGCTTTTTGCATAAAAAACATCATTTTTCGACCCCCATTTGACTCCCCAAGGCAAAATCAAAATTCCGAAACCTTACTGCACATCTACATGACACCACCAACCATCTCCCAAAAGATGATTAGGCTACTGTGTAAAATGTAAGAGGAGTTCAGGGAAGACGGGGCTTTTTGCATAAAAAACGTCATTTTTCGACCCCCATTTGACCCCCCGGGGCAAAATCAAAATTTCGAAACCTTACTGCACATCTACATGACACCACCAACCATCTCCCAAAAGATGATTAGGCTACTGTGTAAAATGTAAGAGGAGTTCAGGGAAGAAAAGTGTGACAGACGGACGGACGGATGGACGGACGGACGGACGGACATGAGTAACAACAATATACCCGAACTTTCTTTAGAAAGTGCGGGTATAATTACTATTACTACTTCTTGTGTTTTGCCCTTGATTCTACGTACATAATAGAGCTACTCTTACTTGTATTTTGACGGCTCATATCGGCCATCGTGGCTTTCTTATTGTTTTTTCCTGACCATTGTTTTTCATCCAATCCTTTATAGCATGAATAATACTACTGAATTCTAAGAAATTAATCTTTATATCTGGATAGGTGTTGCAGAAAGGCTCATAAGAAAATAGTGAACCATCTTCATTAATAATATCATTAATTTGTCTTATGTTGCTGTCAAACATTTGTTTATTATAAAATGGTTTTCCACCAATATGCAAATGTGGATTGTAAAATAGTGGCGAGTCACCAGCAACATCAAACTTTTTCTCAAGATTTTGTAACATTATCCAGGACTTAAAAACATCTATCCAAAATTTATTTTTTAATGTTTTTAAAAAAGTTGCAGTATATTCAATTCCACAACTTATAAATTTGTTCAAATTAAATTTAGGAATGAGGTCTTCCAACCCTATTTTTGTAAAGATTAGATGTCTTATCCAGAATAATTTCATGGAGGCTATGAAAGATGTCAGATTTAACATTTTCAAACCCCCCTCGTCATATTTTTTCACAATTACTGCTTGAGAAAATTGAGACAGATAAGCTGATGGGCTTAATCTGTTCAAATTTTCTCAAGCAGAGAGCAACCCTTCTGCAGCTAACAAAACACTAAACACTAGTAACCCCCCTTTTTTTTCGTTCAAAAGCAAAATGTAATTGAAACTCCAATTCAGGAGCAATCAGAGCTTAATGTAATAATATTTAATTAATTTATCTATTTATTTTCGTTTTGATTTTGCAGGCTATAATTACTTTTTGCATATTTCTACATGAATGTAACATACGTTAGAATGGAAGCAAATAGGAAACTGCAAACAATACAAGTAATTTAAAAATAACTCTCAAAATAAAAATCATTTTTACTTCATTTTAAAAGGAGCATTTAGAGAAACATGTAGAGAAATGTGTATCAGAAAAAACAGCACATCTACAACCATGGCCTCTATGAACATGTATATTGTCAGAGTATTGTAAAAGTGATCAAGTATAGTTAGAAAAAAAAATACATAAAGACAATATAAAAGCTAAAATCTTCGTAAAGCTTTTTAACATGCTAGCAATCTGTTCAACAGAATTTTTGTACATTTACTTCTTATCAAATAAAATATTTAACCGAATGAAGTACAATATTCCAAATAAAATACATGTGTATTTCACCGGATGAAGAACAATATTCCAATAAAGGGTAAAATGATCATCTATACAGCCATGTATTTAGATTTTTAAAAGGAAACAAAAGAGTAGATGAAATTTTGATTAGGTTAATAGTCTATATATAGCAAACAATTAAATTCTCAATTGAGTCAATAGTTTTCTATAGAAAGTTACAGAGAAAAAATCTCATATATCTAAGTCGTATAATCATGACAACCCTAAATTTTAACATACACATCTTCACTCTACATATTAATTACATGTACTTTTACGACTCTCTCAAAAATTAAAAAAAATATATTATGCCTAAAAAAGTAAAATGTAAAAAAAGAAACATAACCACATTAAAAATATGTTGCAGTAACAGAAAACTAAAAAAAAAAAAATAATGGATATGACATAAAACAAATTCATGTATGAATACAAAATAATAGAATATATAAATATATAAACTGTACACAAGTGACGAGGACACATATTATACACATGTAAAAGGATATATCTACTAATAATTAGTCAACTGAAATCAATTAGATATAATTCCTGACACCAGTAGAGTCTTCCAAGTAGTTTTTAATATCAATCCAATGACTTTTCCACTGTTAGAAATTCCTACAAAATAATAATAAAATAACTGCAACATAGTCAAAGTTCTGAGAATTTTACGTTTTCTCAAGTAATAATAATCATTTTGATTGTTATGGTGTCATTTCAGCATTCAGAGGGGTAACAGTGTTTTTTTAAACAAAATATTTCTGATGTTAAACAACATATTAAGCATACTGTGATAGATACACATTGCTCAAACAGAGATGTTTAATAGAAAACTTTTACAAATGAAAAGATACTACAGTCAAACTTTAGTATCTCAGATACTGATCACTCAAATACCACGGATATGTCAAAGTGATTTGCAAGTCCTAACCATATTTTCTTTAAGTTGATTGATTGTATACTGTTTAACGTCCCTCTCCAGAATATTTCACTGATTTGGAGACGTCACCATTGCCGGTGAAGGGCTGCAAATTTGGGCCTATGCTCGGCACTTACGGCCTTTGAGCAGGGAGGGATCTTTATCGTGCCACACCTGCTGTGACACGGGGCCTCGGTTTATACGGTCTCATCCGAAGGACCACCCCATTTAGTCGCCTTTTACGACAAGCAAGGAATTTTGCCTTCTATTATCAGTTTGATATAACAAGGTTAGACTGTAGATACACTGTACATACTTTGATCCCTGTTTGACACCACATACAGCAGCAGCGAGAGGTTCTATCCTTGAGCACATATCCATGTCTCTCATAAAGGTGCTTAGCCCGATTGTCACAGGCTACCTTAAGGTAAATTGACTGCAATAAAGAACAAGGTGCAATTATTATAAAAACTGACTTGGATGAGGAAATAACTTTATTTATTTAATCATGTTTGCAAATATATTTCAACATTAGGAAAAATATGGAAAATTCTCATGTAAATTGCATATGTAACCACCATCTGTTTGTAATTTTTCTTAATTTAATTTTGTTTTATTGAAACATACTTAAGATACTTATAGAAATGCATGTTTTGATTAAATTTCAGAAAGTGTCAAAAATTAAGAAAAATTTAAAAATTTATACAGCATTACTTCCTGTAGAACAAACAAATTTGAATGTTAAATCTTTTGCCTGTAAAAAAAATCAAACAAATTTACCATACCTTGCATCCTCTTCTCCTTGCATCGGCATCAGCTGCGTCTAGCATAACTTTTCCTATACCCTTTCCTCGAAATTTGGCATCTACACCAATGGCATCTAAATAGCACTTTCCTGGTGGGGCCTTCTCACCCCCTAAAGCACAATCCATACACACAAGCCTACAATGATATTCTGACCGTTTGATTTAAATGCAAACAATATTATTGGTTATTAAAGTGTAATGAATGTAAAATAAGAAGAAAAGTGAAGAGGAGGGGGGTAATGAAATTTAAAAAAAATGTCCTCACCCACAAATATCTGTACATCCAAGTGGGGGCATGTCCTCCTCTCTCTCCCTGTTTAAAAACAAACAAACCTTTAGTATCTTTATACTATATTATATCTTTTTTCTCCTCTTAATTAATTCTGTATTTGAAATCATCTTATACTTTCCTTCTTATTTATGATTTTTATTTTATGACTAGACTGGTGTCTTGTTAAACTGAATGAAATTTGTTTAAATAGTAAATATTACGGGAAGATTTCACTATCTCCATTGTAAACCAGGACACAGGCACAGGCCCTTTCCCCTTCATACTCCCCCACCAGATTTCTCTCGTAATACTCCGGGGGTCGATTTCTCACTCTGTTCATCAAGAATTGTTCCATGTCGGGAAGGCTGTGTAAAATATAATAGAAAGATTAATTAAAAAAAACAAATTACTAATCTTAATTTTCTAAAATTAAGTTAATTTTTCAATGAACAGAAATCACACATACAAGAAATGTAGAAATAGGTATTTAATAAACAAAGGGTATTTTCAAAAAATAGGCCCATGTACTGAGGAGTTCTAATGTAAAGTTTTAAAACAAAATCAAAGTAGTAAAAAAATTTTCCCAGGTAACAATAGTGAATTACCATTTTACAGGTAAATAGAGAATTTATACATACCTGCCTTTACTTGTAGCATAGACAAATTTTCCTTCAAAGGCTTCGACTAACACTCTTGCAAAGAATTTGAAGTCCTCCTCTGAGTTCCTTAAACGTCTTATAGTAACAGGGCCACTCTTAAGCAGCACAGAATCAGGGCCACTCAGGTCTGAGGCCTGTGGTTGTTGAGTTGTCACTGCTGCCATTATTAATTAACGATTTCTTTAATTAATGATTCGTAATCACTGTTTCAATTTTTTTTATCTACCTCCTCTTAAGGAACACTGAAAAAAAAATGAAAATGAAAATTTTATTTTGTTTAGGTGCATGGGAAAAAATGGCTGACATAACATGTCTAATTAGAGGGAAAATATGATCCCTGAGAATAATTTATAACTGTTTTACATGACTTAAGTGTGAATATTCTGCAGAAAATAGTAATCCAATGCTATCGTCTGCGCAATATCATTGATTACATTTTGCTAGAGCTGTTTCCAAAGCAAAAATAAGAAAATAACAATTTCCTGTCAGGCTAGCAAAGAAAAAAACAACAAATTAATTTCAAATGCTGGGACAGTAACATCATGCAATTTTTTCTTACCTTAATTTACCTGCATTCTCTTTAGGTCTCTCCTTCGCTTTAGGTATTACAAATATGTACTATAGGTTGTCTGCAATTATTGAAACAAAAAAGATAGGTTTCTTTTTTCATTAACAGTACATTTTGTAAAAGGTCTGAAGAATGTCTACAGTCTGTAGATCAGTCAATGTCTCCTAAACACTTAAACAGTAAAAATCCTGGGTTTTTTTTCCACAGAAATCAATAAATAATGCATCTTAAATCCATTTTTCACTGTTTCAGTTCTAATTTTGTTTTTTATAAGACTGCATGCAGGTACTAGATTAATGTCTCCGAAATACTAAAGGAGATTTAACCATACATCATTCTATATATAGTCCTTTATTCAGGTGTAAAATTCTAGTACAGTTCTAGCAATATTGTTATCATTCATGAATTCACATGACATTTCATTGATCTAGTACACAAGGGGATTTAAACTAGGATGTTCATTTTCTAATGTTTCAAGTACTTTTACATATCTAACTTCTTGTATTTAAATACTTGTTTCAAATTTATTGCATCTATAAATTTTTCAACACGTTAAGTTTGCGGAAACTTTTCTTTGTCATGTTGAATATTACAATGTACTCAATAAGTCCCATGATACATGTACTAGGGTTGGTCTAGAAGATATGGGATGCAAGTCAAAAACCAGAATTGTACAGGAAGAATACAGATCATACAAATTAGGACAATTCCCACGTAAGCTTGGACTTTCCGTAAGGCGTGTCATTCTCGATGTTACATTAAATTAACATCTAAAAGAGCCATAGCGCATTTGATAGTCACTTTCGCCTACTCTATTAGTGATTTTTTAAATACATTCTTTAACCAAAATTTTGTCATACAATGTTAGTTAATATATGCCTTAAAGCAAATCACACAAAAATAATATTTAAATATTAATAGTTCCGTCATATGACAGATATAAAAATCATTTAGTTTATATAGAGAATATAGTAAATACTGAGGTACCCCCCTGAACAATGACAAACTGTAGCTAAAGACCACCCTTAACTAGAAAAACAACTTCTGAATAATTTTATTTGGATATGACTGCAGTTCAATTTTGGTTAAAGGTGGTCTTCATATTGAAAATGTTGAAAATACGGTATAATTTTTCTTCTCAAAATTATTTTAAGATTCAACAATCTGTCTTAGATTTGTCTGTCGAATGACAATGACTTCGTGGCGTAGTGGTATAATTGCTGGATTGAAGACATAATGATCGTGAGTTCGAGTCTCTCAGTTTTTTTATCTATGCAATTTTTTTCTCTCTATGCATTTTTCCTAAGTTTTCTTTTTTTATTTTATTTTATAATACGTGTATAAATAATGTAAAAGATACATTAAACAACATTTCACCTTGAAAGCATCTCGGGAAAAGCAGTCTTAAACTATTTTAATGACCCTAAGTCGTAGCTGCTATTTTGATTTATTTTTAAGATTTTCTAAAAGTCTTGTTTAGAATAAGAGTGTTGAACTATTAAAATGATTGTCATGTAGTAAACTTGCAAATATGAAAATATAACACTGGGCCATAAATGATAACAAACATGTAGTTTGATCTTGATTCATGTATCTATAAATAGAAACAGGTGATTTCCTTTTAAATACTTGTGTAGGCCGAGACGTCGGTAAGGCAGCTATGGCTCTTTACACAGTTTTCATTCACTGTTGAAATATACAGGGGATAAAAATTCAGGCAAATGTCAACTAGTGTATCGAAAAAGCAATAAAATTGTCTCTTCCAGCAAAGAAGTGGAGCTTAATTTAGTTGTCTCATCGTTGTCAACAACTTAAAATTCCTGATGTTATTAATTTCTTAACCAATGAGAATCTAAGTTTTTAAGGTATTCTATATTTCTAATTAATAGCAGCAGATTCGCTTTTCCCCATAGATTTCAATACAATCCTTGTTAATTAACTACTGCTTAGTTCATTAAATTTTTGAAACTTTCCTATAACTAGAGGTAATGCGATGAGCTCACTAAATGATACCCCCCGCCTCCATATAGTTATAATGGCATAGTCCATGTTTTGCTGTGGCCGGGAAACCAAAAATATGTGTCGAATCAAAAAGTAAAATAGGAGGTACACAATGGCAATTACAATATGTAATAAAGATTCTGTGAAAGTTTCATCAAATTTCATTCATTGGTATGAGAGGAGTTGCGGATAAGAGATGGCTACCCAAAAGCGTAACAGACGGACGGAGGGACGGACGGACAGAATTAACGATTACTATATACCCTCCCGCCTTTCAAGCGGGGGGTATAATAAACGTGATAAAATTCTTTAATGTGATATTAGAGCATTATGTACTTGATGGGCATTTAAGGGGAGAGAATTTGATCCTATTAAGGATGGAAATCCTTAAAAGTGTTGTTGAACATACTACGCATGTTACAAAATCATGAAAAGTTTTGATCTTATACACCGTGTATATCCCAACATGCGGGGTGTATACTATATATGTTGTTCGCGGGGTGTATGCTTCCGAAGCGAGAGAAAGGGGGTCGAGGTACGTTCTTTGTCCGTTTTCTCAACCTACGGATATTTTTCGCCAGAAAGCATGTGCCTACGGAAGAAAGCATTATCTAAGGAGTATATGGATACCTATGAATCCACTGGACACCTTCTAGTTTCATCAAACACCTCAACACTATTCCGAGGATCGGAGCATGATAGACGCTACACTGTGTTTATGATCAAAGAACAGAACAAAGCTTTGCATTATCATCAATTTTATACTGTCGTTTAATACATGTCTACAATATAAACGTTTGAACAAATTGTCTATAAATAAAACAGTTCGTACAAAAGATATTGACGAAAAATCAATGTTGTGTCCGGGGTGTATGCAACATGGTGTACGCGGGGTGTATACCCCTTTCTTTTTACTCTATAGTATCATTGTCTGAAATATCATTAAAACTTTTACTTAACAATTGACTTTTATGAAAGTTCTATTAATTTTTTAAAATTATTCACCAGAAGAGCACAACTTCAGGTTCATGAATTCGATTTACTGGAAATAATTGATACACGCGTACGTTCATCGCACTTTTGGCTTTGCATGCATATGGAAGTATATGTACAGGATACTTTGTTTAATTGTTTGATGTGATGACCAATAATCCATCCCTTCTTTCGATCTAAAGGCGCCTTATTCAGATATTTACTTAATAAATACTTCACATATGCATCATTTTGAACGTTAACATTTTCTCATAATTTCTGTTTAACTTTTTAAAATATTTTTAAATGACATTGAAAAAATGGGGCTTTTTGTAATGTCATAAACACAGAAATAAATGTTCTCCATCAGGTAGTATCTATATGCTGTGTACTTTGCCCTTAGGCACCCACATTTGGCAGTAAAAATATTTTTTATACTGAGGTATTGTATTGAATTGAGTACATATTTTCTAGGTATGGGCCCGGGGAGGGTGTGTTTGTGTCTTAGGTCATTTTGGGGGGTAACTTTATTACGTGTATGTACTATGCGATAATAAATTAGAGGAGGGGTGAACATTTATTGATATTAATAAAGGTCAAAGTTATATTTGTAATTGTACCCAAAACATTTTTTATATTCAAATTGTGCATGTCCTCAGAAATTGTCGTCCCTTATTACAACTGTGCTTTTTTTAAAGCCGGCTTTACATGTTCATATTGTGATTTGTAAAATATGAAATCTTTTCAGAAAAAAAAGTTTGCCCCTTTTTGTTGCAGCATATAGTCAAATAATGGTTATGTAGTATGTTTAAGTAAGAAAAAAAGAGAATCGGTACTGAAAAAAGATGGGACCTTCAATACCATCTGAAATAGGAGTTTTGAGTTTCGATAAGTCTCCCCCTTTTTTATAGCTAGTCAACTTATGTCCAGTTTTTTTTTCAGGTAACCCCCCCCCCTTTTCAAAAAAAAAAAATTCTACGTCACTGTCATAAATGCTTAAGAATACATGTATTAATAACATAAATGTTGCAGAAACAAAAATATTTATTCATAATACACCATTCATGTAGTGTTTCTATTATTTTTAACAGGCGAAATGTTTAGATTGCATTTGTGTCAAACGAGCTGAAGGGCATAGTGTCCTAAATGCAGGGTTGGGGGAAGGCAAAAATTTTTATGATTTACGTAGATTTAGACCATTGCGCCATCCTACAATGTAGATTAATTCAGATAACAATCGCTCCTTGCACACCTAGCGCTTATTATCATACACCCTGCTTGAAAAGTGGGAGGTAATATAGTAATCGGTATTTCCGTCCGCCCGTCCGTCTAGCTGTACGTCCGTCTGTTACGCTTTGGGGTACCCATCTCTTATCCGCAACTCCTCTCATACCACTGAAGGAAATTTTATGAAACTTTCAGAGAATCTTTATTACATATTGCCATTGTGCACTTCCTATTTTGCTTTTCGATCAGACATATATTTTGGATTTTCTAGCACAAAACATGGACACTGCCATTTTATTCATATGAGAGGCGGGGGTATCATTTATTAGTGAGCTCATTGCTCACAGTACCTCTAGTTTTTAAATATGATCGTTTCTTTTTATTTTTTTTTTAATTCTTTTGATTTTTTTTTAAATTTAGTTTGTTTTATACTTCAGTAAGTATATGGAAATAACTTTTTGGTTCAGCATTAGTATTAAGGTCTTTTATCATCACTATCTGTCGCTTATAAGCCTGTATTTGAATGATTAATGTAAATCAAACAGAACCAAAATAAATGAGAGCAAAGGGATTTGACAAGGTTCAGCATTATTATTAAGGTCTTTTATCATCACTATCTGTCGCTTATAAACCTGTGTGAATAATATTTCCATTGATACTTCGCATTAACAATCCTTAGAAAAATATGGGGTATACACCCCGCTTACACCTTGTTGCATACACCCCGGACACAACATTGAATTTTCGTCAATATCTTTATATAAGAACGGTTTTATTTACAGACAATTTGTTCAAACGTTTATATTGTAGACATGTATACTGAAAGGAAAAAGAAACGCATAATAAACTTTTGAATAAAATTAAAACTTTTATTTCCAATATGTTTTCCAGGATTGTTATCAAACATTTTGATTCAACTTTAAACAACAAGTAACCGAAATCTTGTGTGACTTTGATTGATAATTCCTGAGTTATTGAAATTGATATGTCGATACCCCCCAAAATTAAAAATAAAAATTCTCATAATCTCCCTTGCGCATCAGTAACAGCCTTGATTTTCTT